AGCACTAGTAGCTTCGTCCGAACAAGATCCATTGCTTGGCAGGAGTCTGGCAATCAGGGTTGATGCACTTGGTCTTGCCGGGCTCGATACCCTCGGGCTGGTCGAAGGGAATGCACAAACTCTTTGCACCCATGGCAGGAGCCTGCTTGTCTTCGGCAACGCCATCCCCGAGTGCTGTACGCGCACTCTTCGCCTTGACCTCGTCTTCACACTTGTCGCCCTCGCAGTGGGGAACAAGAACGACGTTCTTGCCGTTCAGGGTGGGGACGAAGTCATCCCAGTTGGTAAGTTGGATACGGTGGTCCCGGTAAGCCTTGTCAGCCTTTTCGAACATGTCTTTCTGGATCTGCTCGAGTAGCTTGGGAACCTCTTGCGCAAGGCTGCCGACGTCGATGGTGCCACGTGCAGCGTCCTTGTCATCAATGTCACGGCGAGATGTGGTAACAACACCCTTCTCGGCATCCTTGGGACCGAACTCGATACGTAGAGGAATACCCTTCAACTCCCAGTCGTTGAACTTCCAGCCAGGAGAGTAGCCCTCGCGGTAGTCGGTCTCGACGCGAACACCAGCCTCGGTAAGGTCGTCAGATATCTTCTTGACCTTGCTGTAGAGATCTTCCTTAGCCTCCGCAGACATCCTGACTTGGTTAGCATAATGGCATTCATGAGTAATCCACGACAAACGTACTTGGCGGTGACTCCCACGGGGATGACAACAACTTGGATCTCAGCCACCCTAGGAGGAATGACTAGACCACGGTTGTCTCCGTGAGTCAGAATCATGACACCGATCGAGCGAGTAGTCAGACCCCATGAGTTCTGCCACACATGGACGTGTTCCGACTTGCCGGCTTCCTTCGCAGTGGGGTCCTCGACTGTAATGTTGAACATCTTTGAGAAATGCTGGCCGAGGGCGTGTGATGTTGCGGCTTGAATACCACGTCCAGTAGCGGGAATGAAACCCTCAATGGTTGTGGTGTAGTCGGCTCCAGGGAACTTCTCGTTTACTGTCTTCGTTCCCTTCACGACGGGAACGGCCAGTAGGTCCTGGTAAACATCAGAGTACCAATCCAGGATTTGTAGTACCTCATCACTCGCCTCCTTCTGGGTAAGATGTGCGGTGTGGCCTTCTTGCCATAGGAACTCACGCGATCGGATGAAGGGCATGGGGTCTGAAGATGGGTTAGATGCAGTCAAGGCAAAGGTCGGTTGGATACTCACGCTTAAACTCCCATCGAACAACGTTGTTCCATTGGTTCAGCTTCAGGGGCAGATCGCGATGCGACTGAATCTTGCGCGCGAAGTATGGGTACATGGCAGTCTCTGAGGTAGGGCGCACAGCGACGGGCTTCTCCAGGTCAGACTTTCCACCCTTGGTCACCCACGCAACCTCGGCGGCAAAACCTTCAACGTGCTCCTTCTCTCGCTCCAAGTTGTCGGCGCTGATGAAGATGGGGAAGTAGGCGTTTCGGACTTTGAGGGTCTTGATCTGGCCGTCGAACCAGGACTTGATGTTCTCCCAGATGGCGTACGAGGAGGGCTCGAGGATGTAGCATCCGGCGACGTCGTAGTATGAGATCATCTGGCCCTTGGTAATGACCTGCTGGTACCAGTCTCCCAGGTCAGTCTCCTTGGCAACATCGATACCAATGAGTGCTGAGCCCTCAATCTGGCGCATAGTTAGTATTGTCTCGGGTCCGAAGAAGACCTTTTGCAGTTCTGACCGACCTTCTTCTTCTGTTGCTGGGGCTTCTTCGCAGCTTTCTGGGGGTTGCCGTCCTTCTTGCTCTTCTTGGTCTCGGAGATGGAAAGATCCTTCATCTGCCCGTCGGCAGCAGTGGCTTCGGCCATGTTGAATTATTCTAGGAAAGCGATGTTAACACGGTTGGAGGTATAGTCGTGTTGGCAGTCAATGTGGAAACGATATGGGAACGGCAACAGGTGTAGATATTGTGCTGGGTGGCTTTGTGTATAGGGCAAGTTGGCGGGGCAGGCGGGGTATCAACACGCGACTTGGAGTTACTTACGCGCAATTGAGTCGGGGAAAGCTGAGGGGGAAGTCTGGGACTAGAGATATAGAGGATGCAAATACAGCGGAGTCACTCAGAGCTAAGACAGAGTCGGCTTGTTGCAGGCTCGTGTGAGTCGACGGCCAAAAGTGGTGGAGGGGGCCGAGTCATCGGCGCAGGGGTCCAAGCTAGCGCGATTGACCGACGGAGCTACGATTCGCCGCGCGGGCGGGCATTGCTGGAGATTTTCTGGACCGCGTAGAGGCAGCAACAACAGAGCAGAACAGCTAGAACCCAACACAATGGCAGGCATCTTCGAGCAGTCCCGCAGCGGAGGAACCCTGTGTAAGCTGGAACCGCCAAAATCAGGGCCGCAGAAAGCTAACTCGTGCAGTCCTCGGCGGCCAGAAAATCAGCGGACAGGACATTCGCGACCAGAACGTGCTTGCGACCCAGGCAATCTCGAATGTAGTCAAGTCGTCCTTTGGGCCCTCGGGCCTCGACAAGATGATGGTCGACGACATCGGCGACGTGACCGTGACCAACGACGGCGCCACCATCCTCAGTCTGCTTGATATCGAGCACCCCGCAGGCAAAATCCTCGTCGACCTCGCACAACAACAGGACAAGGAAGTCGGAGATGGCACAACCTCGGTCGTCATAATAGCCGCCGAGCTGTTGCGGAGAGCAAACGAGCTCATGAAGAACAAGATCCACCCCACCACCATCATCACAGGCTACAGGCTGGCCTTGAGGGAGGCGGTCAAGTACATGAACGAGAACATCAGCACCAAGGTCGATGCGCTCGGCCGCGACTCGCTCGTCAACATCGCGAAGACGTCCATGTCCAGCAAGATCATCGGTTCCGACTCCGACTTCTTCGCCAACATGGTCGTAGACGCCATGACTGCCGTCAAGATGACAAACAACAAGGCCGAGGTCAAATACCCTGTAAAGGCTGTCAACATCCTCAAGGCACACGGTCAGAGCGCCACGCAGTCGGTACTGGTCAAGGGCTACGCCCTCAACTGCACAGTCGCCTCGCAAGCCATGAAGACACGCATCACCGACGCCAAGATTGCTTGTTTGGACATCAACCTGCAGAAGGAGCGAATGAAGCTGGGTGTTCACATCACCATTGACGACCCAGAGCAGTTGGAGAAGATCCGAGAGCGCGAGGCTGGCATTGTCACTGAGCGCATTGAGATGATCCTGAAGGCCGGCGCCAACGTCATCATGACCACAAAGGGTATCGACGACCTCTGCTTGAAGCACTTCGTCGAGAAGGGTGCCATGGCTGTGCGAAGGTGCAAGAAGGAGGACCTACGAAGGATAGCAAAGGCCACCGGAGCGACGCTAGTCAGCACGCTTTCCGATCTGAACGGTGACGAGAAGTTCGAAGCGGCAAATCTTGGTCATGCTGAGGAGGTCTCTCAAGAGCGCATCTCCGACGATGAGTGCATTCTGGTCAAGGGCACCAAGGCCTTCTCTTCTGCATCCATCATCCTGAGAGGTGCTAACGACTACGCCTTGGACGAGATGGAGCGATCAGTACACGATTCATTATCAGCAGTAAAGCGAACCCTGGAAAGTGGACGTATTGTCCCTGGTGGAGGTGCTGTTGAGACTGCGTTGCACATCTACCTGGAGGAGTGGGCAACGTCAGTGGTAAGCCATTTCAATCCCTACATGTCTCACGGTTTCACTAACAATTGGTTCAGGGCTCTCGGGAACAGCTAGCGATAGCTGCCTTTGCCCAGTCTCTCCTTGCCATCCCCAAGACACTCGCTATCAATGCCGCCAAGGATGCTACTGAGCTTGTCGCTAACCTCCGATCACGGCACGCTCTTTCACAGCGAACAGTGAACCCTTCAGACCCTTCGTCGCAAGACGCAAAGCAGCTAGCCAAGTCTAAGAACTACAAGAACTACGGTCTGGACCTGATGAATGGTAAGGTACACGATTGCCTAAAAGCCGGTGTGCTGGAACCCAGTATGAGCAAGGTCAAGCAGTTGAAGTCGGCAGTGGAGGCGTGTGTCGCCATCATGCGTATCGATACCCTGATCAAGCTGGATCCAGAGGAGCAAGGCGGAGGTGGTGACGACGGTCATGGACATTAGATGTCCCGGCGTCGAGAAGAGATAGACCGGTCTGAAAAGATAACGACAGCGTAATGAAGGCTCCAAGCCCACGTGCAAGATGCTCTTCCTCCGTCCCCGCTCATTCTTGAACAACACACTGAGGACTTTGACTAAGAATCTGCTTGCCGAGGCACTGACTCATGAAAAGTTTGGGGGCCACATGCTGAATGCAGTTAAATTGTAGGACCTTCGGACCGACCCTAGCACCTGTCCTCGAAGTGGTGTATACAACTCAGCCTTGCGGATCGCAACCACAACAGACAGGTCTTTGACGTTACAATTCGGGGACAAGTCATATCGTAAAACTGTCGGTTTAAAGACTAGGAAGTCTTACCAGTCTTACCAATTTTTAGTGCCTCGTCTTTGTGTTCTACCCTCGGCATGTCAAAACCCTTGGTAGAGATCTACATGCGAATCTGCCGCGCCGCCAACACACGCCTTACCGGTGAGGCTATCTCGCGACCAAAACATCCGACGTGCCTGGTGGTCACCTAGATGGGGAAGCGCACGGCTGTATTGGCTCCGCGTGGCTTATGTCGTGACCTATCAAAAGGCTGCACAAGCGAGCTGAGGAAGAAACAACCACCCGCCTCGCTACCCCATGCTCGTTGTACACCCGTCGTCCCTGCAGCGGTCACCATTACATCTAGTGTTCAGATGGATGGTATGTGTAGATGAGGAACTTCTGGGCTTTCAGTACTGAGAGAATGGGAACAATGACAGGAAACAAACTTTGTCATATCTAGCTATGCGGACGATCCAGTCGCTTCTTGAAGCGACTTTGTTTGCACTCTTCCACTGAGCCTCAATTTACACAATCCTCAGCTGATCAGCCCGCCAATACCCATTTCTCGTATCACAACCGCGACATGCAAGCCCCAGCGGGTCACTGCACGCCTTACGGCACATCGTCTTTCGCATTGCTCGCAACCCAACATGGGTACTTAGCTTAGAAAGTCTGCTCTTTCGCAATGGGGCTATCCTCATTCTCAATATTGCAAATCTTTGAATTTCGGGCCTCATGGCATATACCAAGCTTAGTCCGTTGCTCGCCATCCTCTTGTCTTCGAAGTATGTGGACGCTGCTATGATACGGGCGCCGACACCTGCTGTCACGCCTGCGCCTGCTGCTACAGCTGCTCCGCTTGCCGTCAGGGACATCACTACCATTGGTTATATATCCACGGGCATGTATGGCAGTACTACACTGTGTAAGAAGAGTCACCCAAATCGGGCCTTCGTGGATACTAATACTGTTCAGATGAAACCATCACGGCGAACAATGAGGGTCATGTCATTGCAACATCAGGTAGTCTTTACAAGATCTGCGCCCCGGAGTCACTTTGCGAGTTCTTTTCTTGCGAAAATGATTATGCAGTGTTTCCCACCACGAGTATCTTCTGGTACGATGCTACACCTTCAACCCCTTTATACCGATGATTGATGTACTATCACAGTGGAGGCTCAAGCAGTACATGTAGCTACTGGGAACTGGTAAGATATTGGTTCCCGCACGAACTCAATGTGAGACATATACTGACTTCGGAAACTTGCAAATAGGCAACAGATATCAATGACCCTGCACCACTGACCAACTACTGGTGTGATGCCAAGACGGAGACTGGTGGACTGATCTTAATGGTTACACCTGATGATGGTATGTGCTCTTTCCCCCGCTTCCAACAACGCGTATGCTGATGGTGCATTTCAAAGACTCTTCGACCTCCCCGAATACGGGCTCAGCTTCGAATACCCCACTGTTCTCATCCTTCACGCCGGTGTCCGTTTCCGATACTCCAGGATCCTCAGATATACCAGAGGCTCTGCCACCCTCGGCAGAGGTTAAAAAATCTAAGAAATCAACCCCAGTCGGTGCCATCGCTGGTGGAGTAGTCGGTGGCGTCGCTCTTCTAGCCGCCGTCGTTCTAGGTGTCTTCTTCTTACTTCGTCGCAAGCGGAAGCAGCAGAACAACACCACTACTAATAACAACGTGCCACAGCCACCTACCGCACCCCAGGCACCACCGGCAGGCGTTCAGTACTACCATGAGCAGAAGCCAGTTCCTCAGCAACAGGTCCAACAGATGCCTTCTCCACCTCCTCAACAACAACCACACTACGGTCATTATGATCCCAACGCGCAACAGGCGCCGCAGTTCTATGATCCCAACGCTCAGTCTGCGTATGCTGCGCAGCAGGGTAGCTATGCGATGCCAGAGAAGACACCCGCTGTGACGAACCCGGTACAGGCAAATCCATACTATGCGGACAACAGTGGACCAGTGAGCCCTGTGCCACAATACACGCCTTCCATGTCGCCGGCAGTTCCGGCGAACGTTAATGAGCTACCGGCTGGGAGGACGTAAGAACGAGGATGCGGTTGTGGATCGTGAGTAATGTGGCGCTGGTCTTAGTGGTTGTCGATGCCTCTATTCCCTCTTGACCAGTACCATACTATGTGTCGCATGATGGGTGACAGATCGATGTGCATATCAAGTGCGATTACGTTTCAGTCTATATGAATTATACCCCCTGTTGTTCAATTCAAAAGGAGTCGAGACCGACGTTGCAACAGGATGTTTACATCAACGAAGATGTATTCTTGGATGATGGAGCCGCTTAAGACATCTAGGCGTGCTGTTGAGTATGCGTTGTTACAAATCCATCATGACTTTGAACAATAACCCTTGTGGAAGCCCCAAGCCATCTTCTGATGTTCTTTTCCGCAGTAGTACGCATTACCACATCCAGCACACTTGGACTTTGCGCTTGGAGCTCCGCAATGACCGCACCACTTCTCCTTCGCACGGTTGTCCCACCTCTCCTTCGTCCTCAATGCCACTTGTTCGAGCCAGTCATCTACAGGTGTACCACTGATCGCCAAAGTGCGTTGGCTCTTACTGGAATCCGCACCCTTTGCTAGTTTACTGAAACGCACCGCAAACTCTTCGGGGGTATCCAGAGCAAATAATTGCTTGCCTTTTGGTCCAGGACCGCGACCTACATCGCCAAATTGCATGGAAGAAAGGTCGAGAAATGACTGAACGGTTTCGCTGTCGTGCGGGGAAAATCCTACGACCGCATGCTTCAGTTCTGACTCGTGACCACTAGTGTACATTGTACCCTCTGGGAGTACGTAGATAGCGGTCGTAAGCTTTGGGTTGCGGAAAGTCTCTTCAACAATAACGCGCCTACTAATGGTTGTCATGTAGGATGAGCCTGGCCCCTTACCATAAGGAAAATGTCGCACCCTCAATTTTGTCTTGTCCTGAAAGAGGGCGAAAAATATTTGGAGAAGGCTGATGGCCTGGTAGCAGCCATCGTGATTGCGCGCTTGGTGAAACAAAGTCTCCAGTTGCTCGTTCGAGAGTGTGCTGTCCTCGATTTGGTCCTGAAGTAGGAAATCGGTGGGAAGATCTGGAGCATTTGGGGTACTCGCTTGCTGTTGATCTAGTATAATCCAGGTACACGCATTCTTGTTCAAGCCTTGTGTCACCAGATTATTGAGCGCGACCGTCCGTGGTTCCGTGCCTGTGCATGTTGGTTAGTTGTAGATCAACTTTCCTTTCTGTTTTGCAGCATACCGGCAAAGGCGACTTCTCTTAATCTAGTGTATCGAAACCGAGGCTCTGTAGTGACACGCTCGTAGTTTAGCAAGACAGCGATATCATAGAGATCCAGCACCTCTTCCGAATCTGTCATATTTGCCAGGGTCTTGCGAGATTCAGCACGTGTAATACTGAGATGGCGGGAGCGTTTTTAGTGAGATCCAGATTATGGCGCAGCCGCTTGACTATTCGAAGCTTAGCGCAAAACACGTCTCGAAAAAGGTGATGTCACCTGAGGACGCGTCGCAAGCTTGTATCTAGCTGCCAACACAGCAAGGGAAATCAACATCTTGTGGTTCTGTATGTCCAGTTCTTGCTCTAGGCTCAGGTGCTCGTATTGTTGCTACAGCGAACCTTGTATGTCTGCACGTCTATAAACGACGCCTAATCTTGGGTGAGTCGAGGTAAATGCAAGCCGACAAGCTTTGCCGTAGGTACGTTTGTGCTGCTAGCAGCGCTTCCGACGACGAGAACTCGCACGCCCTTCTAGAAAGGCTCCTCAAAACCAGAGATATCCAACAGCCTGTCTTACTTACCGAAGCTCTGAAGATCTATATCCCGCAGGCTGTCCGCCTCTTCACGACCAGAGTCAGAACACGCAGACGACTGGGTGGCCGTCAAAGCGAATACATCGCTTCTCGGCTCGGGCTCACAATCACAGAACTGGCCGCGCTCTTACGCGTATTATACCACGCCGAGGACATCATAAAGTTGTCTGCCGGTTCCCTAAAACACCTATCATACCTGTCTTAGAGCATGTTTTCCTCTCACTCTCAATTTACCTTGAAGCCTATAGTGTCAATCTAGCGAAGCGGGATTCACCATAGACGATGAAGGGGTGCATGATACAATGGACGATAGGACCACGACCCCAGTCGGCTGCAAGGAGTATATCGACACGAAGCCGAAGCATGCGGCACGGCAGTAGTAAGGTGTGATGTCTATGCATTAGCGTACCCGAAGCTGCGGAGATTACCTACAACACGTATACTCCTGTCGCTCGTCCTTGTTGCTTGCTCTTGAGTACCGAGGTACACCACAACATTGCACAGCAAAGAAACTTCCATAAGAGCAAACTGCATCACTTCAGGTAGCACTATGTCTGTAGACGAATTGACAATACTCAAGAATCGAAGTTCGCGTTGCGGCGCGGAGCTTGAGCTATGGTCAATGGTCGATGACCACGCCACAACGACGCATAAAACGACGGCTTCGGAAGTTTTCATCGGCATAGTCGAACGAACCAATGAGTACACGATCTCAAACTCGATGCACTGTGCTACCACAAAAGAGACCAAATGAGAAGACGCAACTATGAATATTGTCTTCTGGCATACTAGACTTTAGGTCCTCATAGCTACTACTCTATCAACAGGCATGTTTAACAAAATAGGTAGTAATCAACTCCTTCTCAGTGCCCTTGTTCGCAGGATTCTGCCAAAGTGTCGACTCGTCACCAACTTCACTATGCTTCGTTGTTGCTGTCTTCTCAGATACGTCGTCCCGCAATTGGAGTCCATATGCTTCGTTGGCCTGCTCTCGATCGTTTGATGCTGGTAGCGTTGGTTTATCGCTCTTGAATCCATCACGATCTCTTTTACTATTACCGAAATGGGAACTCAGAAGGCCTGGAACGTAGCGCACGAAAAACGGATTGAGGGCGGGTGCGCATGCGCAGACGATTCCGGCATTGACTTCAGCAAAACACCATTGGAATTGCTCAACAGCATCCCATGTATAATCGGGTGAGATCATGAGCGGCTTCAAGAGCGTTGTTCGACGAATGGCCACGAGGCATACGCTTGTGCAAATAGTCAGCAGATTTTTCCGATGACAATCTCGATGACTTACAATCCTCCGGTCGCGAATATGCCGCAAACAGTGATCTTCCGTCTCCGCGACATCTGTAGTCTTGCGACAACGGGTATCGGAAGTACCAAGGTAATCACGTCAATGACGATGTTCAGTACTGAAAGCGCCATGTACTTTGTTAGCTGATTCATACACACAGCCCCCGGCAAACGTGTGAGATCCCATGTTGCGGCTATCGGTCTGCAGCCAAAGGTGCTGACGAGGTCGTAAATTGTTGCGTACACTATTACACAGGCGATGAGCATATGGACCAATGTGCGGAACCCTTTCTGTGGTGATAAACGTAGGTAGAAAAGTAGGATGGAGAGCTTTGAGAAGGCAAGGCTGGTGGCATATAGGATAGTACCAACTAGCGTCCACTGCGCGTGTCATTAGTCGTGCAGCGATAATCTTGTAGTGCTATACCTACTTTCTGAAAGGGAAGCTCATAGTCTTCTGTCTTGACTTCCCACATATGGTAGCCCAAGCCGGACTTCATATCTATACACCGTTCAGCTTTGTAAAATAGGCCGAATGATGTGAAACACACGTGGAAAATTGCAACCGAGCAGCGCAAGGCTGCACATCATTGCAAACACTATCACATCTACACGTGTTGAATTAGCGACAACAACTCTCACGTTCTGTACGCTATCCAAACGACTTACAGTCATTGAGGTGGATTCCCATCTTGGTAACATGCGCTCTTGTAAAGAGCTGCAAGACTACTGCTACCAGAGCAAGTGCGGTTGTCGAGATACCGACAGCAGCGAGTTCTTTGTGAAGATTTGGTGGATTGACTGCGTGTCTAGTATAGCCCGGCGGTGGGACTGCCACGTAAACTGATGCTGTGCTCATTGTCGCTGATTTAGAATATAGTTGTAGCTCCAAGTCCGAAGCTAGAAAGCTAAGATACGAGAAGCGTATTATAGACTTGGACTGAATCCATCAGCACTCCAGGGTTTGCTGTGCCTCATACTAACATGATACCGCTGGAGTGGTTCCAATGCGTCACCAAATCAAGGTGAATCCCTTTCCACGAGGCTGTTTTTGGTATGTATCTACAAAGCGAAACCGAATCCATGGATGTACCGGGAGGATTCTGACTTGCATTGAGAGTTGTTGACCTTAGCCAGCGATGTGCCCGATACTCCATTCGTTCTCGGTTCTAGAATAAGATAATTCGACTCCGCAGCGACAAGAGCTCCGCGACTCTGCAAGTCATAGTCATTCAAGTCAGGATTGTTTGTATTAGGAGATGCCGGTTTAGATGATGTGGCTGTGGAAATGCATATGCCTGCACATCTGCATATAAAGAGCGGATGGACGGCACTAGTCCAGCAGGGATTTCCGGAACAGGCTATAGCACAACTCAACACCCCACAGAAGGATTCAATGTCATATACCACACGGAAACAGACCCTAGTATCAGCCCTGTCCACAAGATGATACGTGTGCATATGCGGCGCGGTTGTGCTGAGATGACTCGTTGCTTGCAGTCATGACCCAAGAGGTAATGGTAGCTGTAGGGTATATGTGTGGCAGCTTGCTGTTGAACTTGGGTTGCGTTGTACTTTTCATGTTCTCTTGTGTGTCATCATGGGCGACATGGCAAACCCCCTTCCATATGCTGTCAATCCCCTTCCTTTCGCGGGAAAAGTCATCGCGGTTACTGGAGCCAGTCGAGGCCTGGGTCTAGCCCTTAGCAAGTACTTGCTCATCCGTGGTGCTACTGTCAGTAACGCCCCTGTAGGAACTGCATATGAGATATTCGCTGACTTCATACACACACGCCTACGTAGGTCTCTATGTGTGCAACTTCAGCTGACAACCTCTCCAATGCTGCCAAAGAGATCGACGGTGAACTTCCGGATGCCAAGGGCCGGTACTGGACGTGTATTGTGGACATTGCCAACCTCGATAGTGTTCGCTCTTGGATTGAAGAGACCGTCGCAAAGTTTGGAAAGCTCGATGGGGCGGCGAATGTTGCAGGTAAGCTCGATTGACCTCTGCAAGTACTGAAGACGTCGTTGATCGGATCCTCAGCGGTGGAGCAACGCGAAATCTTCCCCATAACAGATCTTGACCCAGAGTACTTCGCCAGGCTAGTCAATGTAAACGTTGTGGGCACCTTTCATTGCTTGAAAGAAGAGATGAAGGTTATCAAGGATGGAGGCTCGATCGTGAACGTCGGGAGTATTGCGAGCCAGGCAAGTTGAACGAGTACGAGCTATATGAGACATGTGCTGACTTCGTATCTTCACCCCTGTAGTACGCGACATATGGTACTTCGGCCTACGTCGCAGCTAAGCATGCACTCATCGGCTTGACAAAAGTTGCTGCTTTTGAAGGTGCATCGAGGCGAGTCAGAGTCAACGCGCTGTGCCCGTGAGTGATGCTAGTACTTGACGAGAAGCTGAGCTGACCATTGACAGCGGCTGTTTCAATACACCGATGATGACAGAACCGTTCAATTCGTCACAAGGGCAGTTCTTCCTAAACAAGGACAACATTCCATGTATCCTCAAGCGTGAGCTCCCAGAAACATGGGAAATTGCTGGGTCCATTGCGTTTCTACTTGGTGATGAGGCTGCACACGTCACGAAAGCGTCGTGGTTTGTTGACGGCGGCTGGACGGAGGGAACTTATAGTTCTGGCTGAGGTCGCCAGGGCAATACGCATCTTGATCGACCGGAGCCTTCAGATAAAACAGAAACAAGATATTGACCCAAGACTGATTTGTGTCGATATGGAGTGCACCGGTGTCCAGAAGCAAGATGTAAGGAAGTTCAGAATGAGCGCGATCGCGTTCTCGGTTTCCGCGACGCGACCATCGTGGTTCAACCGCCATCCGTAGCTAGCTGGGGGTTATCTTCCGCGACACCGCCATGACCGCTCCAATCAATCACTTATCACTATCTCACCCCCGTCGCCTTCTTTCCGACGGGATAGAGATCACGTGCGTATCCTTTGATGGTCCCAACGTCTCCGTCGGAAAAGGTAGCAATGTGCCTTCATGTGCACCTTTCCGTGGAGAAGGACGGGTATCCAGTTACCTATATAACTCCCAAAGACCCAGCACGATGAAGAACATAAAAACTCCAAAACATCCTCTATCTCAATCATCAACACAGCTGCAGCCAGACAGATACCATGGCTCCTCTATATGCAGACGCCAGCATTACCCAGCTCCAGCGCGATGCAGATGATTGTTTGCTTACATATGGAACCGCATTTCATCCCGAAATCATCACCTCGACCAATGGCATCAACGTGGTGACTGCCTCAGGTCACCGAATGATGGATGTAAGTGGCATGCAGCGCAAGACCATACTAGTCAGTCAACGTTGATCGTAAATTATAGTTTACCTCAGGACAAATGTCTACTCTAATCGGACATGGCCACCCTGAGGTCGTGAAAGTGATCGCAGAGCATGCACAGCATCTCGATCATCTCTTCAGTGGGATGCTGAGCCCTCCCGTAATAAACCTTGCAAAGCGTCTGACTGGTGTCGCGCCTGCTGGACTTGACAAAGCATTCTTCCTAAGTACAGGCGGAGAAAGGTAAGTTGTGATTGCGAGAAATACGTAGAAAACATGCTCTGACTCCGTACCTCTACACCTGCAGCAACGAGGCCGCTATTCGATTAGCCAAATTCTATACTGGTAAATGGGAGATTGTTGGCCTGGCTGCCTCGTGGCATGGTATGACGGGTGCATCGCTTGGTGCTCAATACCATGCTGGGCGTTCTGGTTACGGCCCCAATATGATCGGAAACCTAGCACTGCCCACCCCCAACTCCTATCGTTCGATATTCAGACACCCAGATGGTACGCATGACTGGAAGACAGAACTGGACTATGGCTTTGATCTTCTGGACAAACAGTCATGCGGCTCGCTTGCAGCAGTCATCATTGAACCCATATTGTCAAGTGGCGGTATGCTAGAGCTTCCACCTGGGTACTTGAAGGCATTGAAAATGCACTGTGAAGCACGAGGTATGCTTCTCATCGTCGATGAGGCACAGACTGCACTCGGAAGAGCTGGTGACATGTTCGCGTTCACACACCATCCCGAAGACGAGGGCGCCGTACCGGATATCCTGACACTCAGCAAGACGCTTGGAAATGGAATACCACTCAGCGCCATCATGACATCGAACCGCATCGCTCAGCATGCCAAAGACAACGGTTTCCTGTTTTACACTACGCACATCAACGATCCTCTTCCAGCTGCTGTTGGCGATAAGGTTCTTGAGGTTGTCATCAGAGACGATCTCTGTGCTCGTTCCAAGAGACTCGGTGTCAAGCTTCAAGCTGGACTAAGACAATTACAGTCACGATACGGTTGTATCGGTGACGTACGTGGCCGAGGCCTCATGGCCGGCATGGAAGTGGTTAGCGACAGGAAAACGAAGGTTGGCGCCCCGGAAGTCGGAGCTGCAGTGTCAAAAAAGATGGTAGACATGGGTCTTTGGGCCCAACTAGCGACAATGCCATCTTTTGGTGGGGTGTTCCGGATTGCGCCTCCCATCACTGTCACGGAGGAGCAGCTCGACCTCGCTCTATCGATCATCGAAGAAGCTTTGAGGACAACTCCGGGTACAATGCCGTTATACACTGATGTCGATCCTGGACGTTCGTTGGATTGAACATGCTATCCTGTGGAGGGTACACTTAGAACCGAATACTGGCTCCTTCATTAGCAGTATGAATGCTAGCTAGCAGCTTTCTCTCAGGCATCTAGGGGATTTTCTGATAGATTATGAGACCTGCCTTGCGGATGCTGAGCAAGTATTGAAACTTCATTCGCCGATCTTCGTCGCTTGTGATCTCTTGGTGAAGCTCGACTAAAGGGTGCTGGCCGTAAGTCTTGATTGGATACGTGAGATGTCTATCGCGCAAGAGCTGAATGTAGGTGTGCAAGAAGTAGAGCCTATAACTACGCAGTACCGGTGAGTACAGACTCTTCGCTGTGATGTTTGGATCGCTCAAGTGGAGCGAATTAGATTCAAATGTGAATTGTGGAGCTGCGTGGGTACGGTGACAAAGTTGTAGATATTGTTACAAGGAGACCTCCTAGTATGGCTGCTCACTGTCGCAGTCTTAGCTGATGCACTAAATGTGGGTTGAGTCAGAAATAGAACTGTCACGTTCTTGTCCACACATATCATAATATCATGAATTCCTAGGTGTATATCTAAGTAATACCTCACCTTGGTCCTTGATTTATGCTTCCAAACCACTGCTACCTACTGCGGTACGTCGTCACGCTTGATATCTCTTCCTTTGTCTCCAGCATACCCGGACCACTTCGCGCCGCCTGGCCAACGATCATTCCAGAGCTTCTTGCCTTCGTCACCTTGTTTGGATGTACTGTTGTGTTCTCGCATCCAGCAATCTATGCACCACTCTTCACTCGGCTGGAGTTTATCTACGATGCTGTTGCACTGGCGCTGTATAGGGTAATGTTGGGCTAGTCTGCATAATGTAAAGGGATGTGTAGAGCTGAGGAGAATATGTTGGTCTGGACAAGAGTATTTAGTATAGTTGCGGAAGCACATTGGGAGAGTGCCGTGGTCAGGGTAAAGCAAACAGAGAAGAAGACCTGCCTAGGCGACTCGTTTTAATGATCCGATATTGTGAAGACATGGCAACAGTGACTGAGGCTGATGTAGAGACGATATCATGAATGGCAAGAGTTTGACATTTTGCACTAGCAAGCTAGCATAACAATATATTTACAGAAAAGAAGTTACTGGCTAGGCCAGCGAAGCGCACATCGACACACACCTTCATCAAGTCCGCACCGCTACGACTACTTGAAGTACCAAGCCGTGAAGTCATTCTATGGCTTACGGGCAGTTCACAGTGATAGACGCAGAACCGGTAGAGAAGTATCCCTCGGTAGCGACAATCTGGTAGTAGTGGCTACCAAGAGTCATGCCCTTGCTGGCCCAAGCATCGAAGTGAGTCTTCATGTTCACGGATCCGCTGGAGCGCTTGTTCTGGCGAACAGACCAGTACTGCTGAAAGGTCCTTGTTCCATCGATGGATGGCTGGTTAGTACGGGTCGACTGAGCGATCTTGTAGGAAGAGCCGTCGGCAGTCACGGTACCCTTGTTGCTAGCCTGGGAACTCGGGTCATAGGTTCTGTCAACGAAATCAGTATATATCCCAGGTGGAAATTGTACAGGGAAATTGCTTACCCGAAGTTCTCAACGACATAGTATTCGACGAGAGGGTTACGTGTCCAGCCATAGATGGCAAGGTAGGAGTTGCCGTTGGGGTTGTAGGAGCCCGAGTAGGTAACGGTGCTGATATGATCAGCAAGTGTTTCTCATCAATTGTCTACTCCAAGGAGTTGACTTACCGGGCCGATCCAGGGTTCCAGCCCTTACCACCAACAAAGTTGCCGCCGCTTCCCCAGTTGACGCTGTAGCTGCCACCTGCACCGTTGGTGTAAGTAACCTTGGAGCCACCATCAGTCCACCAAGAGTAGACTAGAATCTTTGGTCAACTACTGCTTACACGTATATCAGTGATTCAACTTACAGCAGCCGTTGTGTGTTCCTTCGGCGTTGGGGGTGCTCTGGCGAGCGACGAGGTCGCCGGAGGAACGAGCAGCTACATCAGTGGCGGGAGCAGCGAAAGCACCAGTCGCAGCAACAGCAGCAGTGATGAGGGAAGTAAAGGACACCATATTGAATATGAGGAGACTAAGGTTGAAAGCGGTGGGAGATGGTTAGTCGTGGTGGTGATTTACGAGGACGACTCATGATGGCTTTATAGCCGTTGCTATTGTACACCGCGGCGTGATGGTCGAATGGAGTAGGCCCGGTCCTGCTGGCAAAGCCAAGACGAACATTCTCGCCATTGCAACGGCCGTCCATCTCTTAGCAGCTAGGATGTAGATCAAGGACTGAGGCGGAAGGGACACTAATATGCCACGCTTGGCGTTCGTGAAGAAATGTGCCTGCGAAGGGAGTGGGCTAAGCCAATAGCATCAACAGCAGCTCGGGATATTTTGGAATTCCAGCTCATGAATCAGGTTTGATTGGCTGGTAGCTTGAAACAAAGATTCATGGGACAAGGCCGTGCGGTCATTAACTTAGATGTCAATATCTCCGTTATGGGGCTGGCTTCGGGTCATGGCGGCGCTATGGCCGTCCTGGCAAGAACTCCTCCACCTATGTTTCCCATCTCTTTCGCATGCATACGCCAAGCTCTCCGCCTTTGCATTCTTCCAGCGGTTAAAAAGAGTCTTGGCTCGAATACCGAATCGTGGAGCCGTGAGCTGTTAATCTATGTGAAGCCGCGTGACACGTGTGGCGCTTGGAGGTGGCGGTAAAGGCATAGTTCTTACACATCGCTCCGTGTGATTTTTCAATGTCCAAGAAGCTCGGTATGCAGTATAGCATTTCATGTATAGGCTGTATGGTGTTGGCGATGTCACAGTGATAGATGAAAGGGGACTGAGGGGTTTTCGTAGGCGTCCATGCGTGCTGCCAAGCAACTGCGGCCCTGCAGCTTGCTTGAGCCCCATATCCGGGTGTTTGTTTTCCATTACCATGACGCCCGTATCCTAGGCTGATTGATCAGCGAACAGAGACGAAACCACGCTGGCAAGTTACCATGATTGGGCTACGTTCCGATCCTTCAGCCCGGTCAAGCGCTCACGCTCCCGGTCCCGTGCCTCGAGATCCTAGGTAGAGTGCCGTTTTGGAACGATCTTTGATCTTCAAAACAAGCATTTGGCGACCTGAACAACTCCAAGATACCAAAGCGAATTATCGCGCTACCAAGGCCACGCAGATGAGACCTTGCATGCCAGCAGACAAGACTGTCACAACCTTAACCGACCCATCACGTCCACGTCATCGCAGCCGCGGATGCTTCTTCCAAACATGAACACTAGACCTGTACTGCAGTGGTTGCACTTGCAAAATGCGAGATGATCACATGGTGCCGTTCAGCCGTATCCCGGAGAATTGCAAGCTGCTTGATGTTCCGGGAAACTTAACGCACGAATCACAGTTTACCCACCATAGTACGAAGCCCCGTCTGCGGTACCTGTACATAGCCGTCTGCACCCCAGATTTCAGAATGTAGAGAATGCATATCGACCTTGCTTGCCCAGGCTCTTGGTATCGTATAAGATGTCTTGTCCAGGCTTGTCCCGGCGGGTGAAGGGCGATTGCGTGGAAGCTTGGTTGAACCGCTGATTATGAAGGGTCAAATTATGGAAATTGGTACACGAGAGTCTGCACCGCGTGAAACAATGCATACAACAGGCGTTAGAAGGAGTGTCACCGACGAGCGTAGTCAGAAGGCTGACGTCTATACAGACAGCAACGAAACAAGTACCATTTACTGGATAACTCTTTGTATCCCTTCGAAGCCATGTGAGCTAACACACTTTGATAAAAGATGTTCCTGGTAGGTGTGCTCAAGATATACAACTGGATCGGTAATCTCTGTCTTTTCATACCTCTCAATGATGTGTTCTTCAATTTCAGATTATGGGGATACTAGAAGTGTCAGAATCGTGCTACATCATGACATCCTCTAGAGTGCTCAGAGCATATTCACACTCACCTTCACCTCGCATCGTCGTCGACAATACTACAATAAGTTTCAATACACGGTGAATGAATACTATGTACTCTCCAACGTTTACCGTTGACGAACCTTTCCCAATCGCCAACAACATCAACAACCTCCTCTGCCTTGAACCTCTCTGTCATATTTCTTCAACTCTAAGCCTACTGCTACACCAGACACCAAGATCTAACAAGAATGTGCAGACGCAACTACTACTGGCACACTGCGTGCGAGCACATCAAACAAGACTACGCGAACCCATTCACGATGTGTGGCAAAGACCCCGGAAGCCGGTTTCGACTACCGTGTCCAGTCGCTGTCGAAGTCGTTTTGGATTGTTCAGGTCATTGCAGAGATTGCATGGAAACCTTGGAAAAGAAACTCGAAGTTTGGAGAATTCGGCAGCAAGCAGGTTGGGAGTGGCAGCCGAAAAGGCCAGTCGCCTAGGGACCTCAAAGCTGGGCAGATATAAGGTGATCTCTGGGCAGTACGTGGGAAGGTTGAGTGGACAGGCTGGAAATGAGGTCCGTGGGACTACGATATGCTGGACTCGAAGTTGACACGCCTGAATATGCTCACGAAATTCCTACAAGACAGTACCACAGCCAGGCGAGAGAATAAGATTGCATGAATCTTTCAGTCATATGCATGATCTCTACGTCATTGCTCTGATCAATTTCATGTACTTCGTCCTATCACACTGATCGCTACACTTATGTTTCAGCGAAATCGTTTGCAGAATGCCGCAATTTGGTAAAGCTTCCTCCTTCAACCATTCCTCCCCAGCCAAACACCTGTGGCTCAGTAGACTGACATAAGAAAAAAAAAAGAAAATGGGGTATTGGGTATTGCGCTCATTATGGGGTATATCGCGAAGCAAAACGCCACGCGTTCAAATCGCATCCGATGTTCATAATCCACATCCATCTCTTCATTACGTGGCTCATCATCTCCTTCCTTTCATGTCGTTAATTTGTGTCGTGTTCGTCGTTCAAAGATCAGGATCTTCTTCAATTGAAATCTCTGGCTCGGGGAGCCATTCCCTCAGCTGCATCATCCTGTTCCTGCAATGTATGATGAAGATGGAAATGGCAAGGGAATTCCAGACATCGCAACCTTCCTGCATAAAGTCGTACATGGCGAGCAGACGCACAGAAGACTGTTCGTTCTTCTTAGTCGAAGGCGCGTAGCTCACAAAAGCCATAACGGTGTGCGTTGCGGTAATGCCATACAGTGTCGGAACTTCAGGCACATTGGAATCTCCTCGGTCTGTGGCCTGGTCGATCTGCAGGGCATCATACCACAACTCGTGCAGACGATCGAGCTTTTCGATCATCTTGCGCTCTCCAACCGCCGGGTGCACATGCTTTGAGAAGGTGACGGTCTGGAATAGCGGGAGTTGGGACCAGAGATGTTCAACTCCGCCATCCTTCATAGCCCACTTCGTGTACGCCTTGACGGCCTTGCCAATCTGGAAATGAGGAGCCCGCTTCGTGCGCGTGTGCCAAGCGTCACGAGAGACACTGCCCAGATCGAAGAGCTTCTCAAGAGCATACTGCGCTGGACAATGTCAGTAACATGCTCGCGATAAACGGGGCTGCAACATACCACTGTGCTCGGTGCCATAGGCTGGCTTGATGAATGCCTTGTCAATGTTCTCGGTGAAGAGGTCTGCTGGAACGGTCTCAAGGTCAGCGATCCAGCTGATGGGCATCAATGGCTCGAAGCCGCGCATGCCCAGCTTCTGGAAAAGGAAGACAGCGTCCTCAGACCAACCAGCATCGCGCAGCTCACGCGCTTGCTGGTCCTGTCTCTGCCTCTCTTGGTCGTGATTCACTTTCTTCTGTGCAATCATGTAAGTTCCGTCATCGACAACCATGGTTTCCTCGTTCGCATCCCACAAGTCGGCAGAAGAGCCCTCTGTCTGGTCGTCTCGCGCGGCGGGTGATTTTTTGGCTAGCATGTCGCTCTCTAGGTCTTTGGAAGAGACGGCTGATGCTGGAGGCGACGGCGGCAACAAGGTCACGTCGATGCCGAAGTGAGTGGTTGATGCTGGCGGATCGCATGTCTTGACAGGCACTTCTGGACTCATCTCTCGTGTAAGTGGTGAGGTCTTTTTGGGAAGGGTCGTGACTCGGGTGGGGATCGCGGGCGCCTTGAACGCGAACGGCTTCTCCCGCCGGTGTTGTATCTTGCGCGGACTGACATAGTTCCAGATAGTCTCGGGAATTCCGCGAAGAAACGCCATGGTGAGGAGTCTTGTGTGGTGTTTGTGTTTGCTTGAACAGAGCTAGGTTTGTCGACAGGCGGCCGTGGACGTCGTGTGGAAAGAGCTTGGTGGGGCCTTCCAGTCGATGTGCGAAGTCGCGGTGAAGGTGAGAGTGAAGCGTACTCGATTCCCCATGCGGCAGGCCAGTGTACCGTCTTTGTTTTCTTTGTCGCCTTGTTGAACTGCTAGTCGTCCTTCACTCACAGTGAGCAAAGACGAGGAGAAAAGGAGTCATAGTGAAAGTAGGGCTTGTTCCTGCATGCGCACCCGCACCTGCAGCCCTGGACTTGGCGTGCCACGCTGTCACATGGATCCTAACCAGCTACGGCAAGCACCAGCCGGAGCCTGCAGATTGCGGTGAAGATCTAATCAGATGGAACTCTGACACCCCACCAGATCTTTGGATCCCCGCCAAAAAAGAGTCGAGCCGCGATCGGGAAGACATTTACGTGCAAGACTAGGTTTTTCCAATCACTCTCTTTTCTCACAACAACAAAATGGCAGTCACAGAGCAGGATACCCAAGTGTCTACGCTTCGCAATATTCTGACCTCGGAGTCGGAGCCCCTCGCCCGCCGCTTTCGCGCTCTTTTCTCTCTCAAGCACCTTGCAGGTCTGCAGCCACCCAGTGCGCAGACGGTCCCCGCAATCGAGGCCATCGCTGCCGCTTTCGCATCGCCGTCAGCTCTGTTGAAGCATGAACTCGCCTACTGCCTGGGCCAGTCTGGCCATGATGCTGCCATCGCACCCTTGAGGGGCGTACTCGAGGACAAAGAGGAGGATTCCATGTGCAGGCACGAGGCTGCCGAGGCGCTCGGTGCACTGAGCGACAAGGGCAGTCTCGAGCTGTTGAGGGCGTTGAGGGACGATGTTAAGGAGATCGACGTTGTGCGCGAGACTTGCGACATCGCCGTTGACCGTATCGAGTGGGATCATGGACTGCAAAAGGGACAGGAGAAGTTGAAGAAGAGGTATGATATATCCGATTCTATATAGTCGGTCTGGTTGCTCACAAGGAACAGTGACTTTACGTCCATCGATCCTGCGCCGCCGCTACCACAGGGCGCTGAGAAGCCATCGATCCCAGAGCTAGAGAAGACACTGCTAGACACGTCCCTGCCATTGTTCCAGCGCTATCGAGCCATGTTCGCCCTGCGCGATCTCTCCTCGCCGCCCGACCTTCCCACTGCCGTCCCGGCTGTACAAGCGCTCGCTCGCGGATTCACAGATCCATCTGCCCTCTTCCGCCACGAGATCGCCTTTGTCTTTGGGCAGTTGTCACACCCAGCGTCCATCCCCAGTCTTACAGAAGCGCTCAGTAACACAAAGGAGGCAAGCATGGTCCGACACGAGGCTGCCGAGGCACTTGGAAGTTTGGGCGATGAAGAAGGCGTCGAAGACACCTTGCGCAAGTTCTTGAACGACCCAGAACAGGTAGTACGAGACAGTGTAGTTGTAGCGCTTGACATGGCAGAGTTCGAGAAGAATGGAGAGATGGAGTATGCCATCGTGCCGCAGGCTGTGGCAGCTTAGAACCGAAGGTATTGCATACACATGGCGTTTTGGGTATATAGAAATCAACATGGCCACCATAGGCAGAACATCCGCTTCAGTTGTTGGTATTCCACCTGTAAGATAGCAATTAGCATAAGCTCAGCTCTGCATGTGGACCTCTCGACGTACTTGTGACCGCAGTCGCACTCGTAGAAGACGGTGCTTCCTTCATCTGCACTCCGCAGTTGCTGCGTGTAGTATCGCACCTCCTCTCTTCCACATTTTTCGCATGGATGGTTGATGATACTGCTGGTTTGGACATCGGCTTCGGAAATGGTCTGCACCTCAGACCTCTTTGCCCGCAACGACGACGGAAAGGCGGTAGGCTTAGAAACTGTAACGACCGTCTTGGATGATGTGTCTAGCACTGGTCAGCCTGGCTATATCCATCGTTGCGCAACATAGATGCGCATACCTTTACATTGCGCTCCACATGCCGCGCAGGTCAGGATGACATTTTGTTTGCCGGCAGATCCGTCGAGGAGGTTTCCGCAGTCAGTGCAGAAGACTAGACTACCAATAGCCGACATTGTGGGCGACTTGTTGATTTGTCGTTTTAAGGCGGGTGATTCCGAGGTTGGTGTTGGAGTACAGGAAAAAAGTTACGGGGAATCGCGACTTCCGCGGCTGCAGCCAAGCTAAGACAGGAAGGGTAGGCGGTGAGAACGCGTCTGAATGTCGTGCACCACCACGTGCATTCGATCATCGCATCGCATACGGCTTTCACCCTAATTTGTTACTAGGAGCTCCATCAAGCAGTGACCGGTCAGTTGCTTGGGAGAAGCATGCGCGCACGTAGGCTCACATAGCCATATGCCCCGACCCATCCAATCCACCACGACGGCATCTCCACTGTGCTTGTCTGCATACACAAGGGCTCGCCACGACGAGCGCAATGAATGGCAACTGGCATAATGGCAACGGAGGTGGGCTCCCGTACAGAAGGCCTCCTCCCACAGTGGACGAGGCCCTTCCGTATTCGCCTTTTACCTCCATCATCCCCTTCTCGCCTGGTCAGTAATTCTGCTTCACTTGCGCACATTGCCAGAGCACATTTCTCTCACCTGGCGCAGAGGTTGGCTAACAATCTTCAGAAATAATTCCATTCCCAACCGCCGAATCTCCCACTCCGCCCTCTACCCTGAACCCTGAGCAACAGAAAGCGGCGAAGAAGGCTGTGGGAATCTTGAACGCAGAGATCGAGGGCCAGTCCACAGCCCAGCATCTACACGATACCCTCAATCAGCTTCGTAACCTCCTGCTTCGCGACAAGCTACCAGAGTAGTAGGTCCATGCCTCTGCCCCAGGTGAAAGCCATCCCTAATGTTTCCAGTCACTTCAAGCCCATGCCACTGCTAGCGACCCCTTCACCAGACAGCCCTACCAAGAACTCTAATGGTGATACGCCCAATGCCATATCTGGGCTGAGTCCATTTGCGCGCAAGCTCTATGAACAAACGAATGTAGCCTTCACGGGTAGGCCTCCTTGTCGCCTTGAACATGCGGCCACTAACCAGGACAGCACCGAGTGTCAAGCCACCCGAACAACCTCGAAAAGAACACGCTCCTTCCCGAAACACTGTTGCTCCTTCTCTTCCTCCACAACAGGCTCACCTAGCAGCCCCACCGCCACCAGGCACCACCCCCAACGGCCATGCCCACGCACACAACGCGGACTTGCCATATCCCTCGAGTGCTCTATCTTCCGCTCCCAGCAGCACACCCGTACGCCCCCCTGGCCCGGCCGTCATGATAAAGCCAAAGGCAGTCGCACGCGGGGACTACAAGTACATTGACAACATCAATGTTGGAAGTTTATCACAAAAGAAGGAGGATAACAGAGTCGAGAGCGGCGTCACGGTGTTGAGACCGCACGAACGAGAGATTGCCGACGGCAAGATTGAGGCGCTGGAATCTTTCGTCACAACTTTGACTGAAGACAAGGATGATCTGGACGGCTCACTGCATTTCACCAAAGTCATGACTTCTGACGGCGAATTCAGCATCCTGAAGCACCGGGCAATGGAAACTCTTTCCGAGAAGATGTCTGGCGTAGTCGGCCTTGGTCGCTTCAACGTGCTTTCCGTAGATCTGGCCATGCAGATACAATCACTCCTGCATCCGGCTGTCGTGTCTACGACCAAGAATGGACTCTTTCCCCGGGATGAGGGTAACTCAGAGCTTGTGGAGAATGTCGCAACAGCCAAGTTTGCACTAAAATCATCCAAACTTTTGCTGGAAACCATGATCGAGGGCCGTGACGACTACCGAATGCGACGAGAGGACATCATCGACACCGTCATTGATCTTACGAAGCTGATCAAGGACTCGTGCATCATTCCTATCGTTCAATCACGGCGTTCTGGCGAGGCTCAAGATTTGTTCAATGCGGCATCAGCTTACAGACAAGAGTTACAGGTGGTATTACGACTGTGTGGAGCTGTTCTTGCCCGGTTTGCTACTCTCATCGGCAAATACAACCTGCCAGACCGAGCACTCAACACCTTGGAGTATCTGACGCTGGAGTTACTGGTGGAGCAGAACAGCGAAAGCGAAAGAGACTCTGTGTTTACCATCAAGAAGTTTGAACATTTCCGCCAGAAAGCTATGGATGTTCTTGCCCAGATTTTCGCTCGCCATCCAGGCCAACGACGATCCATTGTGAATGGTATCCTCGGCAACCTAGAAAAGCTGCCCGATAAGAAAGCGAGCGCGAGGCAGTTTTTGTCGGCTCGAGAAGTTCCTATCATGACGATATCTGCACTGTTCATGCGATTCGTTCAGGTTGTCGCAACAAATCCGACCACTCGTACTGCGTCACAGGCAGACAACGTGCTTGCGAACATGGCCGAGGACGATGTTAGCGACTACGAGCCTGGTCAAGCGCCCCTCAAGAACTCAAAAAGAGCAAACGGAAGCGAATCGCCTGCGATAAAAGCTCAGAGACTAAGCACGGAGGCTGCCGCTGAAGCCTCATACATCGTGAAGGAGCTTTGTGACAAAGCATCGAACACTTCTAAATCGGGCGACAAACCATTCCGCAATCTTCTGGACTTGTTCATAGATGACTTCTGTAACGTCCTTGGTTCTCCCCAATGGCCAGCTGCTGTTGTTCTCTTACAGATGTTCTTAGTCCGCATGCGAACCATACTCGTGGATGATCAGGGGACCAAGCACTCTGTAGTCGACAAAGACATGGCGCTCACAACCATGGCGACGATCGGATGCGGCGTTATCGACTTTAGAGATCAACTTAAAAAGATGAGGCAAAGGCTGGATATCTCACAGTCAGATTTGTCGTCAGGACTAGATCGTCTCGTGAGCGATGCCTTGAGTGAAGACATCAGAGAGAGGGTCAACGATGTGGATTTACTAGCTTTCGATGGCCCTTACCGTATGGTTCTTGAATCTTTGGTCGGCTACCTCGATCTGCAGCCTTCTCAAGAAGACCCGCATCTACAAGCTGCGACTGGCTTTTATGTCAGTTCGTGGCTGACGGCTGTCGTCAAGACATTTCCCGAGCGAGATGAGGGCCATAGGCCTCAAGCTATCGCGACTGTTCAGCAATGTTTGGAAAGCATGATTGCGGACCCGAAGTGGCTCGCTCAAAAATAGTAAGTTTCCCAACCGATCCAAGACCGTTCCGCAGCTAATACCATCTGATAGCAAATTCCAGTCTGTATCGGATGATCAGAGCAAGCTAGCTGCTGGTGTCATCACTTTACAAAGCCAGGTGTGCAGATACCTCTCGCAGATTGTCAATCACATGCAGATTTACGCCCGGGACAAGAGTTCCTCGAAGCTCCGCACAAGAGGAACAGCAGGACTGCAACAGCTGCTGGACAAAGACTCAAGGGTTATCTCTGACGAACATATCATCAACATGATTCCATCACTAAGAGATAGTTCACCAATGGTTCGAGAGGCGACACTATCGCTTCTTTCGAACTGCCTGGCTAAGGAATCATCTCTCGAACGACATGTTCTGCCACAAATTTTGGAGATGACTACCGATCCTTCAAATGGTCCCAAGAAGAAGGCTATCAAGTTGCTCAAAGAGATATACCTCCGCTCCGATTCGAAGCAGGTGAGGCTGAAGATCGCTGGTCCGCTACTTCTACCTTCGCAGGACAATGAGAACGCTATCTCTGAGTTGGGTCGCAACGTGCTCGAAGAGATATGGTTAACGGCTGAAAAGACCGATGACAGTCAGCACAGGCTCAATCGTGCCCAGCGAGCCGTCTTCATGGTAGATCTCTTGGAGTCTGTCGAGAAAAGCTCCGCACACCTAGAAGCTTTCGAGAAATTTTTTGTTCACTGCCTATCACCCGAAGCCAAGGGTCCGGCTGCCAACCTCAAGATCTGTGGACAGCTGGTTGCGGACTTGGTAGACGAAGTCATTGATCCTGAGAATGGCACAGACACCAAGTCCCAAGCACGTGTCATGAACACACTCAGCGTCTTCGCAAAAGTCAGGCCGACCTTGTTCACGGTCGACTATCTGCGGCACCTAAAGCTCTACATCAAGATTATCGGCACCAATGAGGACGTAGCCCTTGTGCGGCCGACAGTCGTTATCTTCCGGCATGTCCTGCCGACACTTCCTCCTCTTCAACATGCTTTTGCAGAAGAGATTCGACTAAGTTTGTTGAAAAACGTTCCAAAGCTGGCTAGCTGCGTATCCATGGCTTGGCCCAGAAGCCGAGAGACGCTTCTTGATGTCGTTCACTGCCTGTGGGCCATCAGCAAGATGCCAGGTATGGACGCTGACAAAATCTTTGGCACAGTTTGCTCAGTCATCTTAAATCTCCGGCCATTCCTAGGTTCAACTAAGGAACAGGCAGCGGCTAATCGTAAACGCATCCTTCCCTACCTGATATTGCTTGGCACGTTCGGCCAGGTATGCAGCTTTGACCAACAGGCTGAATCATTCATTGCCAAGCTTCGCACTTCCATCAGTAGCAATGAAACGGTAAAGAAGCAGATGGAGCCGATGTTGAACCAGAAGAACCCTCCCCCTCCCTCTCTTATACTGTTAGACACCGTTCGACCTTTCACTATGCAGACTTGGGAGCTAGAGTTTCGCGAGCAAGCCTTGCAAAGCATGGGTGGCATATGCCAGCAGTCGCCAGAGCATTTTATGCGTGGTGAAGTGGAAAAGGTGGTCAAGCTTGTGTTTGTCAACGAGGGAAATGACTCTCTCAAGTATATTGCATTGTCTTTCTTTAGACAATTCTTTTCCGTCGCTGAGCGGCGCTCTGAGACCGGCGCGCAGATTGCAACAGGCAAAGGAGCTGCCAATGGTTCTGCACGCTTGGAAACATCCTTTACTGCTACAGGAAACGACCATGCCACGTTGCATCTGGCGCAGAAGTTCCTGGAATACTTTGTGAAAGCTGCGTTGGAAAACAAAAACGATTCTGCTGTTATTGCCACAGACATCATTGCCAGTATCAGTCGGCAAGGTCTCGTCCACCCGAAGGAATGCGGTGCTGCGCTTGTCGCCCTGGCGACCTCACCGAACCCAAACTTGGCTCGAGTTGCAGCGGATGAGCACAGGCGCATACACGAGAAGCAAGAGTCGTACCTGGAAAAGGAGTACATGCAGGCTATACACATGGCTTTCAAGTACCAACTGAACATGTTTAGCGATTCTCATGGCATGGTCGAAGCCACTTACACCCCGAAGCTTGCAAAGCTGTTCGAGGCACTGAAGACGGGCAAAAAAGCCAGTCTTAAAAAGTTCATTACCAACTTTTGTAAACAGGTTGATTTCGACCTTGCCAAACTGGACATCAGTGGTGCCGTACCTGAGCCCGTCTTGTATGCTCGCTTCTGCTTGGAAAACCTCGCCTTGCTCGACTTTCCCCATCAAGAAGAGCTTGCTGTGTTCCTCAATGCAGTTGAAGCCATGGTCCTCAACACGACAGGGCCCGCTATCGGAGTTGTCATCGCGGACGAACTTCCAAAGCAATATATGGATGTGGCGCAACCTTTGCCTCAAGACATGTTCCAACAACAAATGCTAGAAGCTCGTGGTATAAGCCCGATGTCACCCATGCTACCAGCTGGGATATCGACAGCGCCTCGACTTGTTCCTCCAGCAATTGACAATAGCAGACTTCGCCAGGTTACCACAGCTTGTATGATCCTGCAGATGGTATGGGAGACCCGCACTTTTGTTCGACGATGCTACTCCGTCAAGAGTAACGCACCCATCTCGCAAAAAGATTACGCCAAACCCGCGCATCGGAACAATCTCGTTACTGGCAAGGAAATTTGGGAACGCTTCGAAACGATCATGCGCGCGCTTGATAGCCGCGAGAGCATGGTGAAACAGTGCTACGACTTTGCAGATTTGCTGGACGTAGATCGTGAGACCTTCATTGATGCCGAAGGAGACGATGCACTTGGTGGAGGGTACGAGACGCCGAATGAAAACGGTGAGGACGGCACGCCGTTACCTACGAGCGGTCGCGGCAGGAAGAGGAAGAGCAACGTGAGCCTAGGCAATACACCAAAGAAGGCAAGGGGAAGGCTTTCTGGATCGAAAAAGAAGCGTAATTCTAGGACACCGGATGGCGATGGCGACTCAGACTAGAAGCCCTGACCGCCCAGCCACCGAGTTTGACGGCGAGAAAATACACCTGGCACGGAAGTCCTACGCCCGTGTGATGATGACTAGCACACGAGCATTATTTTCCCAACTATTAAGCATGAAATTGGCGTTCGGAGGCAAAGGCATATCATCGATACCCCTCAGCATATGGTACTGCCATACAGTGTATTTGGCGTTTCTCATTTCATGTCATCGCAAGGCTCATGGCTTTTGCGGGAATCTTTAGCATGTCAAATCCGGATAATTGAAATCTTCGACAACATATTTTCTGAAAATATACCTCCTTCTAAGCTTTTGTGACGTAGCTCAAAAAATATTTAATATAGTACGTATTCTATTTTCGATTATGATCTGCAAACAAATGCATTCGACCGAAATCGTTGCATTCTTCGTTCGCTTTTAACATTCTCTTATGGGTGCTTCACGCTCGGCAACACCTGTCTACTGCCTTCTCAACATCTAAAAGGCGACGAGCGGTATCTTCTCCCTTGCAGTCAAGTTGTTTACCTTGGTCTTGTCAGTCGTGCTCCACATGTACATGATCATCGGGTCGCCTGACAGCAGCGTGTCCCGTAACCATGCTTTCTACCTCCTTCGCACCATGAGCGCTATCCTGAACATGATCACCCTTGTCTATATCCAGCGCATGTGGAGACTCCGTGCCAAGCTTCTTGAGCTCGATGCCCATTGCATTAGAATGGGAGGACCGGGAGATCTCGTCTTCGCCGCTAGACCCGCTGCTATATGGCCGATCACTACTCCACGTACTTTTCATACGTGTCGCTGTTGGACTGTAGTCTTTTCTTTTGCGGCGCCGTGATGCTGAAACATTGCTGGATAGATTTTTAGGAGCGGTATCGAGAGGCGCCACGACGTGTTCCTTAGGGGACATGCCTGCGAAAGAATGGTGCGAAATTGTTTCTGTATTGGAGAAAAGGCTTCCAAGTGTGTTGGTGGGGACAGATGGATGGCGCGTGTCCGAGTGCTTGGATGAAGGAGGAGATGTGAGTGGTTGAGGTTCCATGCTTTGCAAGCGGAGGGCACCGCTGGACGCTTCTTCTCTAATCTGCTTACGTTGAGCGTCTGTGAGGCCAGGGAGAGAGTCTGAAACATCGATCACCCGTACGTCGGTCGGACCACCCTTTGACATCTGTCAGCGCGCATGTTAGATTGAGAGTGGCCGTGGTACGTACAATGTTCAGGCCGGGCTTTGGCCTATCTTTGTCGCAGATCAAATACCGTCGAAATCGCATCATGAATATCTTGAAAGCCATCTTATGTTGGCGGTGCGTATGTGTGATGCTGGACTTAATAGGCAACGAGATACATGTACAAATCTAAGAAAGACGGCAGCGACCAAATTCAATTTGTGAAGGACGTGGATACCACGCTAAAATGGCCAGTAGAAATAACCACAGACGAGAAGGGACCAAGACCGGAGGAGATCATGAGGATCTACCCGAAGAGCGACATCAGAGGAGACTGTATGGATATGGACGAAGATTTTTGAGAATTGAGCCAGAGATCTACTTACTTAGCTCATCATGTGGCGCTGGATCGCTCCTTGCGGTCTGCAGTCATTGTCCCGATCTGACATTCCTTTGCTTAGGATGGGGATGGGCGAGTGGGAATCGTGGCTGCGGAATGTAAGGAGCCGTTCCGTGCTCCAAACCTTATAGTTTTCAAACATTCGAACAAAGAACGGTCCCAAGAATTTTGAGAGGATGTTTTGAAAGCAAGCAGATCCACTGTGGCTAAGACCAAAGTCTGGAGGCTGTGATTGTTTAGCTGGTCGCCAGCATCTCGGTTTGTGGTACCTTTTGTGATGCTAAGCCTCATGCTTCGTCAGGTCACAAAAGAGGAGGCGTGCATTCGACTGCCATTCTGCCTTGCTTTTGACTTCAGTCCTATGCGAATCGATGCGTGATGATGCTTGAAAAAGGTGCTAGTGGGCTCTGGTAGATGGATCCGTGATAAGGCGACGATCTCTGAACGTGTCTTTGGGGTAACCCCACAATGCGCGTTGACCATAAATTGATCACACCACGTAATAATCGTGTAACCATGATTTCAATGATCTCGATTTTGTCACTGATGCACTTTTCTTAGATCTGACGATGCCACATTGTACTCAAGACGGAAGATGCATAGAATTGGGTGACATGTCTCTAGCAGGTACTGGAACGTCCTGGAGGAGAGAAGGACGACCACTCATTCGTGGAGCCTTCGCTTTCCATATGGTACCTTCTATTTCGGGTAATCCTTGATGTGGTAGCTCTTGAGCTTGACGAATTGATCGAAGCCGAATCTGCTTAACGTTTGGCCTCTTCCAGAGTCCTTCCAACCGACCCACGCCAGATCCTAAACGCGTCAGTTAAATATTCAACTGGAACCAGGGCGACTTACTGGTGCGGGGTAGTCGCATCGGTTCACAAAGACTGTACCAGCCTCGACGTCGTCGGCGAGCTCGTGACCTTTGTTCACGTCCTTGGTCCAGATGCTGGCTGTCAGTCCAAATTGGCTGTCGTTCATCAGCTTAACTGCCTCTGCGTCGCCCTTGACCTTCATGACTGGGATCACGGGACCGAATGTCTCCTCTGTCATCACAGTCATATCATGCGTGACATCCGTCAGAAGCGTCGGAGCGACGTAGTTGCCATCTGCAGGTGGGTTCTTGAATGTGGCATTGTCTGGAGTAGCGTTCTTGGCACCCTTCTCCAGAGCGTCCTTGATGTGCGCCTGAATGGTTTCTGCCGAACGTTTTGAGACGACCGGACCGACGTGCGTGCTCTTGTCGAATGGGTCGCCGAGTCTGTACCCACTGAGTACATCCTGAAGTGCTGATACAAATTCGTCATGAATTTTCTCGTCCACATATACCCTCTCGACACTGCAGCAACTCTGACCTGAGTTAAAGACAGCGCCGTCTACAAGCTCTTCGGCAGCCCACTTGACATCAACGTCGGAACGCACATATGCAGGATCCTTGCCTCCAAGTTCAAGACCTACTCGAAGTGGTACACGATCATTTGCAGCCTGCTGAACCGCAAGGCCGTTGGCTACTGAACCGGTGAAGCAAACCAGCTGGATCTTGGGTGAGCGCGCAATTGCCTCGATCTGGGTAATGGATCCGCTGTGAAAGATTTGAAGCACACCGTCTGGTAAACCGGCTTCTTTGAAGATCTGCTGGATCTGCTCGGCACTGGTCGGCGTTTGTGGGGAAGGCTTCAGGATGACCGAATTACCGGCAAGTAGGGCAGGTACTAGCGAGTTGATGAGGGTTAGATACGGGTACTGCAGGTAAAGTCAGCATGTGCGGAGCAATCAGAGGCTGTCGCCACACGCACATTCCACGGGAACAAGATCAGTACCGGCCCAAGCGGAACTTTCTTGATGTAACGCTTGAAGCCTTTTTCCGCCTCGCCTGGAGTGTCTTTGAGCGTATCTTCACTGATCTTGAGTAGATACTCGCCGCGCATAACTGCAGTCGTAACTTCCTTCGCGGTATACGCAATGGGGCGGCCCATCTGCTCAGTAATTTCCTTTCCCAGCACATCCTGGCGATCATTGAGAAGCTTCAGGGCTTTCTTGACAATGTCCTGCCTCTCAGTGAGGGATGTGCGACGATAGGACTCGAACGCAGCTACGGCTGTCTCAGGTAAAGATTGGAGATCTGCATCTGAGAGGCCATTGCGTGTGAGAACTGGCTTGTTCGTAATGGGAGAGATGGTCGTAATCTTTTCCAGCGACATGGCGGTGGCGTGTTCTTGGTACGAAAGTTATTTGGATAAATTGAGATGGAGATGCACTGTGAGCAATGACCAGTGTTGATCTAGTGGCGTCTTGCGAGCAGTTAATTTTGAGTTGAGGCTTTGCCCGCAGTAACATCGGAGATGACGTATGACAGGCTAACACTAGCTCGTGCACGTCCCACTTTAGTGGAGGACATTCACAGCTTGCGCCGAAAAACGGACTCCCATACCCGCCTTCAATAGATATCAGTGAGCTCTCTGACGACTGTTATCGAGATAACGCGGTTTTTAGATAAATAACGAAGAAGCGATTCCTGTACCAGTATTACAGAAGAATTGTCAACTGGTACCCCTCCAGTGTTTTAGTACGCCGTAGGCATTGACTTGCCCGTACCATCCTCCGCAAACTTGGTAATCTACAAGCACACGTGGCCTTCCTCCCTCACTTAATCGGAGACGATCGTGGCTGAAGTCAAGTTGCTGAAGTGCTGATAGTGTGGATTCGGGCCTTTTCTGATTGCCTCACTGACATGCTGCTATTATGTACGAAAGCCAAAGACCCGCGCCGCAAGCCACCAACCATGAAATGATGGTACTGATCAACGCCCCATCCATCTATGAACAAGATGTCGAGCAAGATGTGCGGCATTGCCGATTCATCCACACAGCCAGATCGTACGGGGCCCACATGCGCAGTGTTAAGAGACCAGCTACAAGAATCTGGCAGGTGTACCGATTACACCCTCCTTGCTGGAAACGATATTCATAGGGCTGGCTTCGCATCAAGCAGGCAGTGTCTCGAGCGGAGCGTCAGAAAGAGAACCGTATGGCTCTTTTGGGGGACGTCGCTTCGTAGACCTTTCCTCTCATTTACGCTGATTACACTAACTTCTATCACTTTTCTGTCCCAAAGCCTTTGGAGGGACGAGCAGGCTTGTATATGAAGTCACTCAGCTATCTTGCAACCTTTTGAAGGGATTACGTTCAATCGACGGGTTTTACTAAGGTCGTTCATGCAAGTTGTATGGCGTCCATCTTGTCGCCCCTGGTTTCTGGAAGCTTCGTGAGCTTTCAGTCTGTCAGCCAGTGGAAGGCAGCAATGGCAAATTCAGACCAGACCTCGATCGTCAGCCTGCACTGCACAAGATCGACTGTTATACATAGCTCTAGTTACGGCGCACAGCTTGGCGGCATGAACGGCCCTCGCTTGCGCTCATCAATAAAGTCCACGCGGTGCATGCGGCGTTGTCGTCAGAAAGCTGCACGCGCAATAACTAGAAATCACCAAACTCAGCCTAGGTCGGAGCGGTGGGGCCGTAATGCCTTGCGTATTTCACTCTTTTGATTCCAGTCTGCAGATAAAAAACAGCCCAGAACAGTCGAGGCGCTTATGTTAGGCTAGGGGTACCTCTTGCAGAGTTTGGTCTGGTTTCTCGATCCTAGGGCATGTGCCCCTGCTGAAGAGAACTTGACAGACCTCTTCGCTGCCTTCTCCTAGCTTACCATCGTACATGTTGCCTCTAGAAACCCTTCACTATTATTGACACGGTGCTATGATAAGAGAACTGGAATATGCGTAAAGATATTGGCTTCATCGACTCACTTCTAGGTCGCCAGCATCAAACCCACTAGGCTGAGTTCATCATTTCGAACGACTGGGCAGCAGCAAAGATATCGCGATTTGGAGAAGCTGTTCTTACGCAGTTTTGCGGCCGTATTAAAGCCTCTCATGTCTATCAGGCAGCGTGCAGGTAGGTATATGAATTTACTACGAAATACGATTAATATGAGCCCGAGATAATGTATTCGAGGCGCTCTAGCACGGAAATGCGTCTTGAACATCCTGAAGCGCTCGAAATACTGCTAGATTATCTGCTTCCCTCACGCCTTTTCACCGGTCATTGCTGTAGATGCCTAACCAACAAGTACGACTGGGAGACTTCGATACAGCAATAGCAAAAGTGGTCAGAAACGAAGGCAAATAAGCCTTCGTGACGGTCCAACACCGGCCACTTGGCTGGGCTGCTTGAATTAGAGGAATACGCGACATCTATATCGGCTTCTGATAAGATATTGCCAGACATTCGCAATACGCGAAGAGCTTACCGTATTATGAACGACTTGGACTGGTCGCGTTACTTCTATTAATATTGCGGAGATTTGCAGCCGTTTTCGAACCGGCGTAGAACAGGCTTCTCGGCCCTCGTTCTGCCAAAACCCCAGGTCTGGTATCATGTTCTGGCCTATAGTACTCTGAGGTGGTCCCCTGAACGATAGCTTTGACAGAACGTTTGAGTTGTTCTTATCAACGTTCTTTGCTTGTCAAGACCAGTGGGGTATCTATCTTGTAACAGAAAAGACAACGAGTATAGTTTCAACGCACTCATTTAGTTTTACTCCTATATCTAGGGCTGTTTGTTTCAGGACCGTTCTGTTAACAGTAGCTTCAATTAACATAAACCGTTACTGAGATACTCCTCGCGACCTAAGACTGCGATTCTGCACACACATCACTGAGTGCGGAACGTTGCTGTTGTGAATGCGAGCAGTGTTGTCGACAGAGCACTTCTAAGCCACCACATACAAGAGTACACAGTCGAGACGCGGTGCCATCGCTAGTTCCACGGCGTTGTCGCCCAGTGTCAACTGTGGAGATCCGTCAGCTAGACGTGTAGTCACAGGGCACCCTGCAGGCAGCTATCCAAGGAGCTAATGACTTTCTACTCAGCCTTGCTGAAGCGAAACGCCTTCGTTACCAAACTATGGATGTCCGCTCTAACGATTTGAGCGGAGCAGGCCGTACCGTAGAGAAGATGGGCGCATAGCGTGAGCTCGTTAGCATCAGTCGCGCCACTCGCTTCGAACAACCGTTGTGCAGGCCAGGTAATCCCGCACTTGATGTCATAAAACAACGTGTTATAGACGAGAATTTGTGCACACCAGGTCAATTCGTGCTTCGGCTTGGCATACATACATCTGCCACTGCAGGTGGCGAACCTGGATTGTCCGTGGTCATGGAGCAGCACATAACGTGCATTACCGAAGTGGATATGAGAATAGACTGTCATACGAAAATCGTCTAGGTCTTCAGCGTCAGCGTAAGCGAGTTGCTTAGGGGACGGTCTTTTTTTATGCTCGTTCTCGTTGAGTAATCGAGCAGAAGAGAGAACATTTGGAAGCGGCCAGAATCCCTCTTCAGCCTCTTACTTAACATCATATATGTACCATGACAGGTGTGTGTACATGAAAGGGATGTGAGCGATCAGCGCAGGCTGCGACAAATGGAGGATAATTCGCTGGGGTGCAGATGACCGGCAGCATGGCGGGTAGCGCTGGTTGTCAGGGTACTCGGGCTGCGACCAAGGAATGGCTGTCCCGTGGTGGTCGCGTCGAGAGGAATCTGGGCGATGGCGGAGACTGCCAGGTCCCGTGCTGTCAGCGGCTCGTCTGCTAACGGACGCACTGCAACACGGGCTGCGGTCGCCAATCACAACCTGGCACCTTGTTCTGATCGCTCAGCAACGGGAAACGGGCGAAGGTGTGGTAGTAGGTGGGTCCTGAGCACGGGCAGGTACCCCAAGGTACTTGTTGAGCCGGCATCGGTACGCCGCTTTTCTTAAGACGCCGCATATAGGGTCGGGATGGCACCGATCAACCAATATGGCTTTTGATTGCGAGTCTAACCTGCAGCGAAAATTCTGGGATGTATCCGTTCGAGCCCGCGGCAACGAAGATCCAGCGGCTTTCGTGGACTGTGCTCAACGTGGAATGTTGGTGTGCAGCAAGATCCTGGTCGTGCAGGGGTGAATTGCTCAAACTGGAGATGGGAGAACGGAAGGCGAGTTGACCATCTCAGACTCCTGGACGCACGCACGCACGAACCTGCGTGCCCTGCTGCCCATCTCGTTTGCAGCATGTGGCCAGAGACGTCTCTGACGCACGATGCAGCTGGTCCCGGAGAAAGGACCTGTCTGCCCATGCCGATTCGGTATTCTCACCCTGCACCTCCAGGCACTGGACAGTTCTGTATTATACCCCACTGCGTCCACTAAGATCCAGCGGTAAGGCGGAGACAGTAGCGACCGAGTGCTATATGGTACCCCAGGCGCACAGCAGTGGTCAAAAGACGGCGTGTGGACAACTGACCTGCATATCTTTTTTTGACGTCCCTCGACGACATAACCTTGGAACCCAGTCCTGTGCTGACACCTCTCAGCCTTGTTGCCAGCTCTTCGCCCTTCGCCACCCGTTGAACAATCTCAACTCCGACTGCATTGTTGCTCCTCCCGTCATTGACACTTCAAGATCTGCCCTCGAGTGGTGGAATTGTGGTGGAGACGGACGCTAGAACGCAGTTATGCTTTCCACGAATCTCCATCAATACCCCTCGGCGTTCAGCCACCTCCCCGCCCCGAACATGGTCGAACATCAACATCATCATCTTGCCGCCCAGCATATGGCACAGTCTCCACTCGACACCCTCGCGCATACATCACAATACGCAGGTCTACAGTTCCACCAAAATCGGCATGTATTACCAAACGGCAAAGCCATTGTCAAGCCTCATCGATTGCCGTACGCCAGCGGTCCAATAGCGCCTCGACACCAGCGAGAGATGCTCCACGAACGATCAGGACGAGGTAACTCAACATCTGGACCCGTACGACGTAGGATCAGTCGGGCTTGTGATCAGTGTAACCAGTTACGAACCAAGTGCGATGGTAGACAATCTGTAAGTCTTCACGCAGACTTGCACCTCGTGAACAAGCATGCTAATAAGCTGAGCAGTGTGCGCATTGTATAGGTACGTTTTGAATGAGTATGAAAAGGTCGGCCACGATTGAACCGAGATGATAGCCATCTAGCCAGATCACCAAAAGTCACTTTTGTAACGTGCGCTAGAGGCTCTTGGATCATCTGGCTAGAGCTGCTGTTCACTTCTCATCACTCAGGTACTACCGCGCCTGACAGCTTGGCTAACACTATATCAGAATTCGGATTGACTTGCGAGTACATTCGTGAGCGCAAGAAACGCGGAAAAGCATCGCGGAAGGATCTTGCTCAGCAACAAGCTGCGACCGCCGCAGGGGGGAGTGGCGCGCCCAAGTCTGAGGAGTCCAGCACCCCACAATCCTCGGATAAAGCTGCCGAGTCTATTCATAGCGGTAGTCCTAAACTTCCTGAAGGCCAAAGATCTCTTCCAGAGCCGTCCGGTCGGTCGGCCAGTATCGCAACAACAAGAGCCGAGATGGACGCCGCCCCAATCTACCAGAACAGGACGATGAGCATGAGCGCAATTGACAGTATGCCAGAAGCTGAGATGCATCATCATATGACTGAAAGCATGCAATCTATACATCCTATGCAGCCGCCCCGGATTCAGACTCAAGGGCTACCCATGCACAACCCCATGCCTGAGTACACGTCCATGGAAGAGTATCACCGGAATCTTACCTACCAGTCACCACTCCAGATGATGCAGCCTGGAATGCATCCTGTCTTACCCTCTCATGGTCATGGAATCGAATACTCTGACAGCCCCTACAGCATGATGAGCCCGCAAAGCGCACATACACAAGCGCCAGCGAATACTTTCAGGATTCATGAAGAGGCGTCCAACATGGGCTACATGGCTCATTCTCCAGTTGATGGATCTCCAGGCTGGATGCTACCTTCGCCTTCCGCAACCATGTATCCTGGCGCACAACACCAGAATCCTTCTCAACAGTTGAGATATCCTGTTTTGCAGCCGTTAGTACCACATCTCGCAAACGTCATGCCGATATCATTAGCTTGCGACTTACTTGAACTCTATTTCCAGAGTTCTTCAACTGCCTTTATGCAACCAGTCTCCCCTTACGTACTAGGCTACGTCTTCCGAAAACGATCCTTTCTCCGAACCAACAACCCCCGCGTGTGCAGTCCAGCATTGCTTGCCAGTATGCTATGGATTGGCTGCCTGACAAGCGAGTCCCCATATT